GATTGGGTTTTTAAATTATATACCTTTTATAAAGAATTTTTAATATTTTTTTAATAAGAAATTATTAAATTTGTCCTAATTTTTATAACAGTACTTCATTTCGGTTTATATTGTATAATCGATTACAATGTATCCATATATGCGTGTCAACTTTCCATCAAAACGTTCGTACGCATAGTATAAACGCAACTTCAACTTAAGAGTTAGATAAGAAATCTGCCTCCTTCAATGTTCATCGGCGACCTTATGTTTATTCAATTGAAAAATATCAGGATGTGTCGTTTGATTGAGTAACACACTGTAAATGCTCGGCGCCAGTTCGACATTATGCACTTGCATTCCATAGCTGGTAGACAACGAGTTTGTTTGCATGTAGGTAGTTAATAATATTATTGGGTATTTTAAATAAAATACGGTATGGAAATGACACGGTTGATGTGTAAATATGACAGGAAATAAAGGCCTTCGGGAGACAGGCGGAAAACAGTAGAAACTGTCTTTGGATAAGTATTGGCTATTATCGAATTCCTGATGATTGAATAGTATAAATCGTAATAAACTATTGGCTGAGTGCTTCTTTGTAGACATTAAACAAATGATCGTGAAAAAGAATAGTCTGCTATTTCTTGGGTTTATGCTATACAAGGAAGATAACTAGGTAGTTCTACGCTTCAACCGCCTATTATTACACGTTTTAACATACAGTACTTATTTTGTTCAGTCTGAGTCAACCTAGGCCTTTTAGATAAATGTTAAAAAATATCTAGATATTTTATTGCAAATTCGTATCTAAACCTAAAATACGTGCCATCGACTTGGAGCGCAAGACAAGTGGTACAAAATTCCAGATCTTTTTTTATGTCCAAAGTGCACCACAAGAAAAATTTGTTCAAAAGCACATTTGTTTTCTTAACTACACTATGTGTCAATGTCGAAACTAAGTTCCACGTCATGGAAATTTGCAGCACGGAATTGAGAGCTCATAATTGATCAAATTTACCCCACTTATTGCAGTCATTGTTAGACATACTCGTATCTTGACAGTTTAACCCTTTTTTCTATAATCTTTTTTATTAGGAGTAAATCTCATTTTGTATATTTTGCTATATATATATAGTTTTATGAAGTATTATATTAACCTTTTGATAGTGCAGCAACTGCCTTCTATGTGCGACCCTGTGCTCTATGTTTTACTTTTTTTTCTTCAGCACTTTATTAACTGAGCTATCTAGCCTAGCATTCTCAACCCAACATTCTTTATTATATTTAAAAAAACATTTATAACTTAATTGGAGATGCAAATTCCATATTTTTGAGTTAATAGGTGCGCACAATTGATTATTAGATATTAATACATATTGTAACGTTATAGACGTCACATAATTGTTATTTTCCTTTAAATAATTATTTTATTTCAATTGCTTTTAATTTTACTCATTTATTAACTTTATCTTTTATGTTAGTATTTTTATTCCAAAAATAGTTGGCGCTCAACTTTCTATTTACTAAATATTGCTTTCATAATATAAATTCCAATTATTATCACTTAACATTCTAATTCGTTTATTTAGACTCCATTATGTTCTATGCAGTTAAAAATAAAATTTCTATGCCCACTTAAGTCCACAAAATATACATATGTCAGTTAGCTACTTTTTGACATATGTAATGTCAGCTGTACTTCAATTCTGAAGAAAGAGAAGTTGTCGTTCATCTATAAAAAGTCATGCTTCATTTGAAAATTTATTTATATTGTTTAAAACTTGTCTGGAGTAAGTTTTTTTTTTATTTAAATATAGAGAACCCACATCAACCACCAAGGATTATTAGTGGGGGGGGACATACACAGTAGACAGTTTGATAAATTAAAATTTATTATAAATGTTAATGTCTTTTAGAAACTGCAATAAATCCGAGATATTTGTCGTAAGCGCACTTCTCAGGTTTCCATTAATTCCTCGGCATGTTCTCTGAGGTTGGATCTGTGGACAGTCGACTATCAGATGATTCAAGGTGAGTTGAGTAGAGCAGTAGGTACAAATCGGAGCTGGTTCTTTATTTAGAAGGTGTTGGTGTGTTAGTATTGTGTGGCCGATTCGAAGACGATTTACGATTACTTGATCTCTTTTTTTTCCTTGTTCTGGTAGGCTGGCGTCTACTCAAGGCTTTATTGTTTTCAACTTAGAGTCTGTTGCGTCCCAGGTTGCTTGCCAAAAAGTTATGATTCATGGACTGTTATGGTGGGTGTGAGGATATTTAGTAATTTCTGGAACATTTTCATTTCTGATCGATTTTAATGCCAATTGATCAACTTCCTCGTTACCTTTAATGCCAATGTGCGAAGGTATCCAGATAAATGTAACTTTTTTTATTTATATGGTGTAGTGCATTCAGTTCATTTCGTATATTTTGTGCCATAGGATGGCTAGGGAAAAGTTTATTGATTCCATGAATTGCGCTAAGTGAATCTGTGGTGGTTAAAATATTATTTTCAGTCGTTGAAGAGGAGTTTTTGATAGTTTCAAAATAGCTGCAATGCTGTGGAATTCTAATGACATATTTGTAATTCTTATTTGTGAAGGCTGCGGCATGGCCATTTTCAGTTTTTGAAGCATCTGTGTATATTATGTGGTGATTTGGATACTTCTCCATAATTTCTTTGAATGCATTAATGATAAGGTTAGGATTTGTGGTATTTTTTGGGTACTGTATTAAAGCTAAATCGGTGATAGGTAAGGGGGTAACCCATGGAGGGAAGTCTAATTTTGTGGTTATGGATAATTTGAATGCGTTGCAATTAAATCCTTTTTGATTGATTCTTTCCCTAAAGGGTTTGCCTTTATATTGTTTGTTTCTATACAAATTGGATGTAGGTGCGTTAATAATCTCAGAATATAATGGGTGCTTTTTATTGAATTCTTGCCGCATAATTTAAACTAAGTAGATATCGTCTTAGATGTAGAGGAGGTGGAGTAAGTTTATATTTAATATGTAACCAATATCAAGTGTCTTTTTATAAATTCATTTTAAACCATGTGCAATTAGTATCTTTAATATAATTTAACTAATTTGTTTAATAATAATTATGTTTATTTTATCCTTGCCAATTAGCTATTTGCTAATTAATATTTTAATTATTTGTAATCTTCATGTGGCAAGGAAATATTTAAAAAGTTATGATGGTGCTAACACAATGTTTATTATTTTAGTTTTTTGGCCTAATTTATATTTTTCCTGTCTTCTTGCTTGAGAGCGACCTCCCCTAAGACCAAATACTCAAAAATAGGGGGTAATATATTGTAGTAGGTAGCGTCTGCTATGAAAACTCAACATATCCCTGAAGATAATTAAAACCAGTATCTGGAGTTAACAACTGCACTAGCTACATTCTACGATCCATCGAAGCAGCATTTGAAGTCACCAACAAGTAGTCTTGTCCAGCTACACGAAGACAATATTTGCTATAAGTATTATTGTAAAAATTTTGTAAAGCTGTAGGCAAGATATGCTGTTTTTTTTTTAATTTAATATTAAAATTTTATATTTTATGTTAATATTATTTATTTAATTTGTATATATTTGTATATATGTATGTTATTTATGTAAATAATGCTAAGGAAACAAATGCATGATCATTATCTGATAGAGCCCATAACACCTGCTCCGATGAAAATGCATTTCAGCATGAAAAACCTTCTAACAATGGTTTTAACAAAAAAAGGAACAGTAGGCAGTACCGTAAACTAGGGCAGAGCTTCATACCATGTTTTTTGTATTTTTAAAATGTAAATAATATATTTAAAATTAAATAAAGTAATTGTATTATTTATTTATTTTTTGTATTTTAAACAAATTTAATATATTATGTTTGCTCCTAACGCCACCTGTTAACGTATTAACAAAGCATACGTTGTTTACTTATGACAAACCTGTCAAATTCAGACCAAATATTAATATTAAAATATAAATAAATATCATTTGATAGCAAATTTAATTATTATATAAACTAAATAATATGTTTAAAAAAAAATTGTATTTATATGAAATTATTTTAAAACCAATACTATAAAAATTTAAACAGATGATTCAATGTTATTATTAATCGGATGGCATTTATGACTTTTATTAAATTTTAACAATCGTTACGAATCGAATCTTTTTGTGAAAGATATTCTTATAATTTTTTGCTTCTCGTTTAATATCTATATTTTGTTCGATATTTTTTATGCAGTTTTTAATTACAACCTGCTTAGAATAAATATATGATGACTAGAAATAACAGAAAAAACAGTAATACAACGCCAGTATAGAAGTCTCGCGTCAAAAATGATTACCCATTATCATTTATAAACAAGGAATTTCCCAAGAGTCTGTGTCCAATATCAAATCTTCAGAATTCATATCCGAAATTGGACAGTATAATTTTATCACCCAGTAGACCGAATGAATTTATTTGTTATTAAATACACACACGTAGTTAATTAGGTTACATACGGATTTGGTCAATTATCAACAATATAATGCAAAACAACACAACTGATGAGTAATCCAGAATTGCTCACGAGAATGAATTTGAAGATGACATATGTAAAATGATTATCAGAAAAACTAAAAATGATAGGAAATAAATACTACATCACAACATTCAAAACAACCAATACACTGAAATTTGTTCTGTCCGAAACCAAACCATACAACACACAGGAGATATCAAAGAACTGCATATATAAAATAAGTACCTTGTGAATGAAACAATTTTTATGTGGGAGAAACCGCAAGACCACTAAGTGTCAGGATAAACGAACATGAATCCTAGATCAAAAACAGATTCTAGATATGCAAACATGGCTGGGAAAATGACCACAGAGTACAATGGAAAGATGCAATAATAGCCGTGAACGAAGCACAGTAAAAAGGGAAACACCAAAGAAGCATTGATATTGATCTATGGATTCCCCAGAGGTGTGTTGATGTATAGACCTCCTGGATGTGGAAATACTATGTTGGCCAAGGCCAAGATCAAGAAATATCTTGGTGAAGGTCTTCGAATGGTGAGAGATGTGTTCCGTTTTGCAAAAGAAAATTTTCCAGCAATCATCTTTATTGACGAAATTGATGCAATCGCAACTAAACGATTTGATGCCCAGACCGGTGCTGATAGTGAAGTCCAGAGAGTTTTATTGAAATTACTTAACCAAAAGGATGGTTTTGATCAGACAACAAATGTTAAGGTAATCGAATTTCCTTTACCAGGTAGAAGACAAAAACGTTTGATTTTCATCACATCTAAAATGAATTTGTCAAAGGAGGTCGACTTAGAGGACTATGTAGCTAGACCAGACAGAATATCAGGAACAGATATAAACGCCATCTGCCAAGAAGCAGGTAGGTATATATGCATGCCGTTCGGGAAAACCGTTACACCGTTTTATAAATACAATATTTACAAAGATTTGTAGCATTTGCAAATTATTATAGGAAACATTTTAACCATTTTGCAGAATTAGCTGCACTAATAAAAAAAATAAATCACAATACTATAATTAATTGACCGACAGAAAGATTTCAATATTAACTGCTCGCTATATATTTAGATTAAGAAATAAACGCTCAAAATTTTAAATTAATTACTCCGGAATTGTTGGCAATTGATTAATTTCTTATAGTAGTATTGATATTGACCTTGATTATTGAAACACTGCGCAAAAAACAGACTTTAATTGATTATGAACTTACGCACAAATAATGTTCTTAATCTTAACTTAATAGATACCAAATAAAAAGTTAGGAGGAGTGCCAAACTATAAATATCATTTCATTATTATCATAAATTTGAGGGAGGTTCACAAAAAAGACTTTTTTATAATGATACTGATTTTTTTTGCATTTTTAAGAATCCTTACTAGATATTAAAAAAATAAGATATGATAAAAATACTTCCCCATTTGCATTTTACTAAATGTATTCCTAGCTATCTTTTCATTGGCCTTTATTGTCCTAGAAAACTTTCACTCTATAAGGCTTAACCGTCAATACCGTTTATTTTATCATGCATATGTACAAACATTTCTAAGGGATGTATAATCTCTCTTTGCAGGACCTTATATTATTATATATCAACTTTAATATATATTATAATACTCGTAATGTAACAAACACTTTGTAATATTTAAAGCGTCGCCGAATGGTTCCAAACAGATGCTGATTTATTAATTGAACTTTTAACTGAGCCGCCATAAAACATGCAACCTCATATCAAAGTCCTAAATAATAGAGGCGATATAAATCAAAAAGTCTAATTTAACAGTGGAATAAGAATTCTACAACCAATTAGAATGATGTTAATTAATCTCCGCAACAGATAAGAATGTTAGCAATGAAAATATGCGTTAAATTTTTATCGAATTAACTAATCGATGTAATATGTAATAGAGCGTCTTGCGCTCTGGCTGTATTTATTTTCATTGATCAAACTTAATTTGTTTCTACACAGTATGATTGATACCTACTTTTTCATATTTTGTAAATAGAGGAATAGCATATTTAGAGTGAATACGTTATAGTAAGTATGTATGTATGAATATTTAAAAACTCACAAGCAATATAGAAAACTATTATTTTAATAATCAAATCTTTCTCCTGAAATTTGTTAAATCTATTGAAGGCATGCATAATACTTTACAACTGTAAAATATTTTTGAAAAAAAAATGGAAGAAAAATTACAGAACGATCCATGAACACCTTATATGACAAGAATGTCGATATAGTAAACTAAAAATAGTACGAAGATGTACTTATAGTACATCTTAGTACAGTTAATGGTTGCAACAGGATGGTGCACCTCCACATTATGCTGTAGATGTTAGAAGGTACCTAGATGAAATTTTTCTGAACAGGTGGATTGGTAGACTGATAGATTGTTGAATGGCCAGCGAGGTCACCAGATTTCAATTCTTTGGATTATTTTATGTGGTGCCATCTGAAGAATGTTGTGTATCAAACGAAACCAGCAAATATTCAAGAATTACAACAGAGAATTCGAACAGCAATAAACAATATTTCTCAAGACACAATAAACAAGGTTCAACAAGAATTTGTACAACGTTTAAGTTACTGTCAAATACAGTAGTTGCTGTAGCTCGATCATTTATAAAGTCATGTATTTCATCATATTCTGTCCGCTAGACAATAAGTATTTTTGATAATATTGTGAATTTAACTAGCGCGTTACTTTATGAACACACACAAAACTATTGTATTTTTGTCCACCCCGTACCAATTTGAATCAACATGTGATACATTTTTGGAATCAGCTCAGCTAGAGTAATCCGAAAATTGAGACAAAATGGGGGTATTCCATTTAAAAAAAAAATGACGGTGACGTCATTACTCCAAAGTAATTTAGCCTGTATATTAGAATATTATTTTAAAATACGGTAAATTAAAATTAAAAATCGACGTGTTTCAGGATTATTTCTTAAAATGCTCTGTTTAGCTAAAAAAGAATTTGTTCCATACTTTACGGACACAGTGTATATTTATAATTAAACGAAATGGAGGGTTGTTCTATCATTATTTTTATAGATATTATGTATTTTTATTCTTCTTTTTCAGTAATGTACATATTGTCATAGGTCAAGATTATTACGAATCAGATGCTATTTATGTATTTAGAATTCGTGATTTTTTGTAATTAAATGGTTGGAATATGTTGAATTTGTGCCAAATCATGAATTCCGTTTATGAAAGCATGAAATTTTATATATAAACAAAAAAGATAAAACGAATAAATAACTTCAATTAAGATAATTTTCGATTTTATTACTGGCTGTGAACATAATAGTTCCATACAAAAAAAAATTGATTAGTATTTTACGTTTTTCTCCATTAATTTTTACGATAGGTAACGTCCTTGAACACTAGCTGTATCTATATTCACCGTTTATAAAGATTATTTTAAAATGATCTCGACTTGCATTGCTAAATATTTAGTCACCATCTTTGTCATGATCAGCGATCGGAATTCCTTAACGCTGACCCATCCAAAAAAGCTTCGGGCGAACTTCAACCGATACAGAGGCGGTTGGTAGTTGATAAATACAAATCAATAGATCAATAGAAAAAACAAATTATTAACATTTTCCGCCTCCAGTTTTTTATAAAAACATTAAATCTTAAAGATTATAACAATTATTATTAATATTTATTGCAAAAAATGTAATTTACAGGATTTATTTTAACTGTTATTTAGGTTCAATAACAATTTACAAAGGCATTCAACTCATTTTTGAGCAAAAACTGATGTTTTTAGCAATTACTACTGGTTTATTAAAAGCGAAACAGGTTTGTCCAATTAAAATGATGGGAAAAATAAAAAATACAGTACACAAAAAGATTATATTATAAACATTACAATTCATTTCAGGTCTAGAAAACGTGTAAGAAGAAATAATTTATAAGGAAGTTATGAATAATGTAGAAAAGACAAAATCGATTATCTCAAAAGTGAAAAACTGATTGATTATAATGAGAATTATATTTTTCATTTGATTTCCAATCCGGGCATATAGGTGACTTTCAAACGAACTTTCAAAAAGTGACCAAACAGAAGAGCAGGGCAGAAAAACTATCGTAAAGATATTTGTTCTGACATCCTGGAATGCATTAAAAGACACTCAGCCATTATGTCAAGGGTCATAACTTGGAGCGAAAGATGGATTTTTAATATGACTCTGAAACCATACGACAATCCACGTAGTGGACTCCAAACTCCATTCAGAGAGACAAAAAAATGAGGATCAGTAAGTTCAAATTCAAGACGATGTTAAATGTTTTCTTCGATATACCGGGCGTAGAATCACATAAAATGGGAACTAAAAGTTTAAACGGATAATCAATATTACTTTATATACGTTTCACGAAAACTCAGAGAAAAAAAAATAACAAAAAAAGGTCCGACATGTGGAAATAAAACTCCTAGATCCTCCATCACGGCAACGCGCAAAGATTTTTTGTTAAAAACTATTTAAAAGTCATGGAGCAAGCACCCTATTGACCAGATTCGGCACTCTTCGAATTCTACCTGATTCTAAAAATAAAATTTTGTTTGAAAGGAACCGGCCACGAGTAATTAGAGGACGTAAAACAAAAATCGGTGCAGCTACTAAACAGTCTGTCGGAGATGATCTGCAGCACTGCTTAGAATAGTGGAAGGTTGGCACGGATCGGCGTAGGGATGCGAACAGAGAGTATATTAAAAAGGGAAAATAGAAAATCATAAACAACTCCTAAATAAAGATGTTATCCAACAGTCTTTAAATTTTATCCATTACTATTACTAAATCTTAAAATACATATCCAATTTTTAACTATGGTTTTTCTTCCGTTGGAAAAGTTACCTAATTGGCAGAAACGTTTGTAAAAATACTTCCTGCAATAAAGTATTTCGGTTATGCAATGCAGCAAAATAAGTCAGCACGATCATTGTTACACCACTGTTCGATTTACAAATTGATTTTGTAACTCTTGATATAGTGAAGCATAGAGAACTAATCTGATTTGAATATAATAGTAGTTCTCCATGAAAAAATATGTATAAGAAACATTTTCAAGGTCGTCCATGGATTTGCGGTAGCTGCTGAAGTTGGGGCTGAAAATAACTGACTGTTTATAATATAATATTATGACATGGTATTTTGTAAATCGATATATATTTTTCTTTTTTCCATTTTGTATCTTTTTGAAAACGATTTTCGGGATGGAAATCGAATCGTCAAGCAACAATTATAAAATGTAATTTTCATTTCAAACAATTGTGACTTAATCCAATACAATTAATGGTTGGCTTAATGATAATATTATACTTAGATATGCTACAAGAAAACAGTTTCAGAATCTTTTTGTCATTTTAGTCGTTGATAACGTGTGATTTAGTTTTTTAGATATCCCGCTAATTACTAACTCTAGCTACCTATTTATGTGTTTATAACGTTTAATTCCTATATTTGTAGTTATTGTTTACACAGTGGCAAATATTATTGAGGGATCCAGGGAAACCCGCCCCCTTGTATTGATCAAAAGTATTTGTATTTCTAATTGTTATATTCATAATAATTTTTTAACGTTAAACTTCATCCCAACAACTGATTTATACTTTCTTAATGCACTGCCATTTGTGTCGATGTCGTTTAAACACACATTTCAACGACCTTTCGAGCTGGTATAGCTAGCGAGAATTTTATCCCCTGATATTTGTGCTGAAAAAGTTCACATTTGTGTAAGAGAACGCGACCGTTCGTGTCTACTGTGATTGTTTGTTTGATAGTTTGCCTCTTAAAGCCGGGATCTCATTGAGCGTGGAGAGGCGCTCGAGAAATAGAAAAATAGATCATAATGAAAAGAAAAGAAAGCACAGTTGGCCCGCCACGTTACTGTGAAATTAATATTTACTTTTTGATAACAATCCCAATGGAGCGAGCGAGATTGAGGTTTTAGTTTAGTTTTGTCTGTTGTACGCCACAAGTGCTGATAAAAATGTGACTAAGTTGAGTAATTCATACAGTGATATAATTTATAACACAACTTCGTAAACTTCGTTAGATCACTACATAGTAAAAATAGCACTACACTGAGTGTACCAAACACTAACCGCGTTTGAAGGGCAGGAGGGGTAAGTACGTGCTATGCATCAGCTTCCAGTCTTCCTTTGAACCGTGTTGATTTACCGAAAAATGACGGGAAAACATACGCCCACTACAAACAGACAGCCCCTGGGATAGTAAACAACAAATATGAAATGGAAAAATGGTATTCCACGTTTCGTTGGTTATCTTTAGATTTTTTCTTTTTCTATAATGGATTATTTATTTCTCTTTGTCGCTGAAGAACGCCGCTCCACGTTGTGTCAGATCCCGGCTTAAGCATTTTTGGAATAGTAATAACTATATACCTCTATTACTAATAATTCAAAACAATTAAAATGGAAATCAGTAAATTGGAAGTGACCAATCCAATTAATTATGAGCAAGAGTAGAAATCAAACCGTTAGGAAAAACAATAGCATATTTAATTATTTCAAAAGTCGACATTGAAAAATGTTAGACATTTAAATTAAAAAATATTAATACAAATTCAACTCTGAGAATCCTTGATCTCTCTATAATCCAGACTCCCAAGTACTTCAGTTTATCCACTTATTCATTATCTTTATCCCCTTTAGTGGGCGTTCTCAACGAGGCGCCGAACCTCGCTTCGACCAAACGTTAAACTCGTTAAACCAAACTGTTCCCCTATATCTCAAATTGTGTTAAGTAGCGTGTGTAGGTCTTTCTCACTTTCAGCAATAATGACTGTATCGTCGGCATAACTCATGTTAAGTATTAATATTTTCACAATTTATCATGACCCCTTCTGTACAGTTTTCAATATATCTTATTATGCATCTTAGTATATTTTGGTTAATAGCATCGAGCAAAAAGATAAAAGAGGGAATCTAATCGTTATGAAAAGGAGACCAAAAAAGTGGCCTCTGATGGCGGACATATCCGGAAATGCAAAGGCGCTAAATTTAAATTTTCCAACACTTGTTAACAATACCTGTAAAATATTTTTCAGACAAGAAAGCTTTAATTAAATATTAACGATAATAGTCTAAAAAGTGACATAATTGGTAAAAAACTTCAATATAAATAAAATTTCATGTGACAGTTGGACAAACAATAACATAACCAAACTAAATTTGACTTCTTAAACAAGGAAAGAGACTGTCTTTCCTTGTTTAAAGTGGCCTCTCAAGATGGCACTTCCTGTCTAACAATATTGTTGTCCCCACTACCTTTACATTCCCTCTTTTATCTTTTTGCTCGATGGTTAATAGGCCTGTCTCATCAATAGTATCTCAGTTGTAACGAGTCCATGGTAATTTTAAGTTCTATTAGTACTGAGTTATCGGTGCGGTGTGCTATCCTTGGCATGCGCATTATACTACGATAACCCCTAATTTCGATACTCTTTGTGCGTTTAAAATCTGATTTTTTTAATGGCCCACGTTTCTTAGCGTAATTAGAATGGAAAAAACGGATGGTCGCACCGACGCAGTTCTTTGCAGTATTCTTTAAACTCTTATTTTATATTTTAGTAAGATTGATCGTAGCTGATCTGATCGATATGCGGCGCCGCCTTATTTGGCTTTCGCACTCTACCAATTAGTGATCACTGAGTCAAATTATATAGAGAATTCGTACTTTACACGTTATATATAATTGAGGAGACACCACATACCTGTCGAATTCCGGCTTTTAATTGGAAGCTGTTTGCAAGTTCTTCCAGTTTGTACACACAGATTTTTGATGTTAATTACGGTTTGTATTATTAACAGCTTTGGTAATCTATTTTTTTGTATGTTTTGGTGTGTCCTCTGTGTCTCTGCGTTAATGCTTCTATAATTTTTCTGTTTCTTTTGGAACTAATGCGTGTCTTTATCTTCTATCTTACTACACAGCTTAATGAAAATTCTTTTGGTAATATCTAGTAGTGGATGCACAGTCGGAGGATAGTTTTACTTTCACATAGATTACAGAGCTCCTCCATCATCTACTGACAAGAATAAAATTTATTTGCTTTTTATATCTTTCTCCAGGCGAAGTCCATGTTGACATCCTTCGCGAATGATGTTTGAACATTATGTTCAATATAATGAGTTGCCGATGGCGAATTGTAGAAACCGTTAACTTCTGCATTCCCTTTCGCCTAGTCCAAACTTTCCTATCGTTTTTTTCAAATGCTCGTCTACTTTTGTGACTACTATTATGAGACCACTGTGTTTAATATGAAACTAATAATATGAAAATAATATGAAACAGTTTAATAAGTTGGAGTATCGTGTGGTACGTTTCTTCTAGTATGTCTTCTGTAGTTTCTTCTGTATGTACTAGCAGTTATACATGTACATGTTTTGTCCAATTCTTATATTAATTAGTATAGCTCCATGTCCTTAAAGCTTATGGACACAATTAAAATAGAAAAAACATCGTATCTGGGCCATATACTTCGAAACGATGTAACAAATAGGGAAGCGTTTAAAGAAGTGACCGCTAACCTTCGTTAAAAGACGGCACAATAAGAAGAAGACATGTCCTTAATAGGCATCCCACAGTATCCTTGACCTTCCCAGTGCGTTACGATATTCCCACAAATAAGTATATTTGCTTTAAAAAGTTCTTTAAATACTATTTAATATAGCAATATATGATAATTAATCAAAAATCCTTGTAAAATTTAAATTTACTTGTCCGTTTTGCTTATATGGAAAAGTAGAAATAATAAAACTACACATTCAAATTCAATTAAGTTGAAGAGATGTAATCGACACTCGTCTTTTGCTTTTCACTAGTTTCGGAAATATAATTTTTATACAACCTTTTTGACAGGTTTTTGGAAAAGGT